GCCATTGACTTGGACTCTGTGTGAGTGTGTGTGTGACAGTGCGTGTGTGTGGTGTGTATTGTGCCTTCAAAAGAAAGATTTCATGAGGTATCACTTTACCTCACAAGAACTAAAAAGAAAAGAAAAAATGTAAAAACACAAAAGCCCAAAGTTCCAAGTAAATAAACTTACTGTGGTTTCACTTAACAAATTTTTAGTATTTGTATTTATATCAAAATCTAATTGTGCATTGCTTTAACATCTTTATTGCAATATTAATAATGTACATTTTGTACTTACAAACCATGAGAGAATTTCAATTTCTACTTGCAATGTTTTGGACATGCTTAAATTCTTGGTCAAATCTCTGCAACAAGTTAGATTCTATATGACAAACAAAAATATAATTATAATGTAAATGGTCCAAAAAGCTGAAGGAATGAAAGAAATGTTTCTTGAATATATGCTAATTCTATCTTGGAAAGTAATGCACTCAAGTTTTGACTCTGTGTGTCCTTAAAAATATATTCAAATTGATAAATCCCTTCTTTCAAATTTTATATCCCACTGGGATCATAGTGTTTAAAATCTGCACAAATTTTCTAGAGAAAATGTGATGTCAAGCCTAAATATACTGTAGTCCTGCAATAGAATGGCTTTTAAATTGTGGTGGATTCAAGGTAAGTACATTATTACCAAATGGGAAGAGATGAAGTTGAAGAAAAAGATAGAAACAAAAGAAGAGAGAGAACTATCAAACAGATTTTTCTAATTAGAAAATTTAGAAATACTGTATAAGAACTCAGTGCAAGTTTTTTAGAATTTTAGTACAATTTTCATTATCAAGAATGACTATATAAAGTGCACATTCAAGATTTTTTTCCTGTACACAGGAATCTGTATTCCAATATGCCAATATTATTTCCTAACTGAAGAATTTAATAGTAGTATGAAAAGTGAGTATATATACACTTTACTATATTTATCTTAGTTTTTGTTTATGTTAGAGTTTAAAATTTTTGCTTTACTGTGATTGTATTATTTTTATCTCTGTAAATATTCATTGCTCTCCTTCCATTATAATGTTGTAATTCTCAAATATTGCTTTTACTAATTGGCATTCAATTAAAAACTAAAGTCTTAAAAGATGTACACCAAAGACACGTACATGTAGGTGAGGGGTCAAGTTTTCGTAGCGGACTGTGTTGGACCCTGCAGCAATGCCCTGGCTTCGACACACTTCCTTATCAGCCAGAAGTCTTCACTGAAAGCGGTACGCCAAGTCCTCTTCAGGTGCAGTAGAATTTTGCAGCCTTAAAGAACCTAAGTGGTCCTGAAACCCATCTACAGGCTTTTCCGTTGTTTTGGCTTCTTTCATTTTCTTAAGCACAAAATTGTTAATAATTCCAAACAATTGAAAATTTGAGGGCCGTTGCATCCAACTCCAATAGCATGCACATTAATAATATAAAATCAAATTATATTATTTTGTGATAATTTCTACAGTGAATTTTCCCCAAACCCTCAAAGAAAAATAAAAGTAATAAAGAAAAATGAAGCATGAATAATAATTTCAAATGTTGGTAGTCCTGGTCCAAGTGTTTTCTTCCTTCAATACTACACTTTTTCAATGTGGCACAGGAATTCACTGTATGATTGTGTGGGGCTACACTTTTTTGCATACTTTTTTCTCAGTATTTAAATCATTGCAAAGTATAAATATGACCATAGAAAAAGCAGAAAAACTTTCCTGAAGATTAGAAACAAAACTATGAAAGAAAAAAAACTACAATAATCATACTGCATTTAATCCCCATGAGCTTTGTGTGTGGTTTCCTGGCCAGACAGCGCCTCTGTCCTCCGAGACTGAGGGAGAAAAGGAAGACAAGCACATCACAGCCTTTGTGTGGCCCTTAGAATCCTGGGGGAGCCAAGCCATTCACTGTGCAGCTTTTACAAGCTCTGAGGTCAATCTGTCTACTCCTGAATGTCATGGTGTTCTTAGCAGGCTGTCTTTGGGTAGCAACCCCAGGCTGTGGTCTTGGGTGGCTCATAATAGCCATTTTTTTGCTCACACTCTGCCCCGTATCCCATCTTCCCCTCAGGAAAGCCCTCCTCCCCACCACTGGAGTGGCTGCATTGTAAGCAATACATTATTAGACTGCTTGAAAAGTTTGTAGTTTTCTAAGTCAAACTCCAAGCTATTACAGAGACAATGTTCATCCTTTCCAATGATATATTTCATGATCACCCCAAAATTAAAACAGTCAAAAGCAATCTCTCCATCTAATACTTCTGTCTGTTGAAAGAACAAACATTCATTCTGCATCCAGGGTGCACTGGCTCTGGAGCTACACCCAGCTAACTCAGTCCCGACTGCCACTTGCGAGCCATGTGACTTGGAGGAAATCTCTGAACTTCTAATCTTCTCAGTGAAATTGAGCTGATAATCATTTCCAACTCCCAGAATTGTGGGAAATAAATGGGATTAAATGAGCGGCTACACCAACGTGCCAGGTGCCGCTTGCAACAATCACTCGATAAATTTTAGATATTATTATTAAACTAAAATAATCTTTGATTCATGTTTCTTCTTAATTACTTATCAGCCAGATATAGAGTTCAAACCACTTGTGCTTTTCATCCTTACATACTTAATGCTTCGACTTTTCTTCTCGACCCTCATCTCATCAAAATGAAATTGCTTTAACAATATTTTCAACTGAACATTGCTTCATCTTTACTTCACTCCAAACTATATATATATATCACTGCCAGTTTGTTTCTTCATAATTAGGGCTTTCAAAAGTTCTATTCACTACTGTTAAAAACCTTCACTTGTTTCCTCTTTCCTACTCTTCAGTATGGTGTGCAGAGCCTAGACATTCTAATTCTGCTCAGTCTGTACACTAGACAGGGTCTCACTATATTGCTCAGGCTGGCCTTGAACTCATGGCAATCCTCCTGCCTCAGCCTTCTGAGTGCTGGGATTATAGGTATGCACCACCACATCTGCCAATACTTTATTTTTGGATGCAAACTTCATTTTGATGTCAATAAATTTTTGCTTTATAATTTTTTTGATAGTCAACAACTATTTATTGAAGGCCTCCCATGAACAGGAGGCTATGGATGAAGATACTATTGTCTAAGTATGTAAAATACTTAGACAATGAGGTTGTCAGAAACAAGACAATTAGCCTACTTACTACAATAAGGCAGGTAGGAAGAACTCTAGTGGAAGTAGAGAGCACACAAAAAGAAAACTAATTACACTTCTGTAATGTTTTGATCTTGAGTGTGAAGCCCTGAAGATATGTTAGAAATAAATGATTAAAATGTACCAAAGTACTGTTTGCTGCCTTACTTCCTGCTTGTAGGAGCCAAAGGGCTATTCTTGCTCCCAATCAAAAGTGCCCTCAACCTTTCAAGATTTTCGTTGTCCTGCAAAATAAGTCCTATGTCCTCCATAATTTCTTTTTTCATTATTCCAGTATTTGCTCTTCCTCTTTGCAGCTACTAAATCTACTAATCTGCATTACTTAGCTAAGTTCTTAGAGGAAATCAGTGAAGATCAAATTACATGAGTAACGTTTGACATTGTTTTATGTATGGTAGAAGTATCTTCCTAACCAGGTTTTTAGCTTAGTAATGGCATGATTCATGTCTTACACTAGTGCATTTCCTTCTTTCCAAAGTGCCTACACTAATTTTGATACAATGTAGTAATGAAGTAGTAATAATTGTTAAACTCTTTTTACATTGATGAAGAAAATGTACAAAATTTTGAAATGAATATTTCTCCATTTTATTTGCTAGTCCAAAATTCCCAAAATTTATTGAATGTAGGACCAGTTCTATATGATGCTAATAAACCTCCATATCAAAATACTAGGAACACACTGAGCTAAACATAGTGAAATACGATTACTTGGCACAGGATTTGTCAGAGCCTTCACAACTTGCATAATCTTAAGTCTTCAAGAGAGATAGATCTTACTCAGCATTTCCCAAATCTACTTAGTAACAAAAACAAGTTTGAGGAATTAGTGTTCACAGTGTTCAATGAGGAGAGTCTGACGCTATCTAAAGTCTTTAGACCTGATTTCTATGAGTAGCAAACTCAAATCATTTGCACTGCTAACGTAACTGCATATTTAACTAACTGGTAAGTACTATCAGTCCACTAACACTATGAGAAAATCAGTCTTCTCTAAATTCTCTCACATTGGCAAACACATCAATAAACACAAGACAGGTTTCCCTGCTGAGGGTCCAGAGGTGAGAATACGGTCCCTTCTGAGACTGCCCAAAGTTAAGGGTCACTCTGGATCCACGTCTGAGGTTTCTGCTGTTGATATAAAGGTCTATGATTCTGTTACTTAATGACTGAAATATGGAGTCTACCCTTAGATTTCAAGAGAGAATTTCCTTATTTAAGAGCACGTATCAATGGCCAGTCTAAAATACATTTTACAACATCAAATTTGGTTGATTACAACTTTGGTAAGCTTTATATGTTTATTATCAATTAATTGTAAAGCTTACACAAGGCCTGGAACCAGTTACTAAAAGTCAAGGCCTGAGATTCAAGATCTCAGGGAACAGGCCCAAGGATTTTGTGTGTAACTGTGTAGAAAATCCAACTTTGGAAAAATGCTCTATTGACTCTCTATGTGAGGGAAACACCAACTTTATTTCCTAATAAAGGTGTCCAGGGCCTTACCCAGTCTAAACTACAAAAGTATCCTAATTTGAACCTGATTGAACTCCAAAGTCCTTCCTGAAACAGGTTCTGTGAACTGGCAGCTAGGATTCTCTGCTTTCCGATGGCCTCGTGAGGGCCAGAAAACCTACAAAGCCCAAAATGGGAGATTTGCAATGGCTGCCATCACACCCGCCTTGTGTACAGTGGACAGTTAAGGTGGAGTCCATGCTTCATAACTAGTTACAGGACCACAGAAAGCCAAGCTTTGTTGGAATCAAACCTTGACGTGAACTTGTGCTTTATTTTCTCATAGGCCTCTTCCCTGAAGAATGAAACTACAATTTCTGAAAGAAGGAACACTTGGCCTTTAAAGCCATGTTTGAAACTTGGTGGCAATACCTGGAGAAGCCAGACATCCAGCCATGGTCTGCACCAATCAGCACAGCTGGGAGGACCTCTGGATGATCCCTAACCTCCAACAGCACCAACACTTCTGATCTCTTTCCCACTTCTTGATTCCAGGACCCATTAGATCCTGAGTACCCAAAACTGGTGAGCAGATCTACTAGCTACTGTCCTACATTAAAGACTCTCCTTCAGTTCCAAGAAGCTGAACTCACCAGGTTGTGACCTCAGAAATCCTCCTCGCTGTGATTCACTGACAGCAGAGCAACAAGGACTGCTGCTTTCAGCCACAGGCCATGGGTCTTGCCTGCGCTAGCCCAGTAGCCTGGGTGAGATGCTTCGGGGTGGTGGACTTCTTACTCATGTGCACCGGTCAGAGCACTGACCCTGAGATCCAAGCCTGCGCTGCAGTGTTTCATCCTCAGCTTCTACCTGTCCGGAATTCATGATCCCCACTCTGGATCTTGGGATGTCTGATAGCCAAGGATCCAGGGAGACGTAGAAGACCAAGGAGAACATGCCTTGGCAGAACTTAATGCAAAAAGACAGTGACCTCTTCCAACCCTTGTGGAATCAATTGTGGTTGTGTTTAATCATTTTTGGTGGGTTTTGTCACAAATTCTTTCCATATTTACTACACTGTTATCTTCATATTTACGGAAATGGGCTACTTTCCTTGATGCCATTGGACATTCCCTTTACCTTCAGTGATCCTCAAATACATACATTTTGCATGGATTCTTAGAGCCTCCAGTTTGAATCCATACCTAGTAGATTTGTCACTGTAAACAAAGATCACTTGGATGATGTTAATACACCCTAGAATTGCAATGTCTTTGTGTACTACCCACCACCAAGATAAATGAATTGTCCCTATTCCTATTTCCACATTCATATATAATACAAATGCCATGAAAATAGTCACTTACAAATAAAATAGGGAAGCATCACATGAAAAACCTTAACCCCTTATGAACTCAACCAGTGTTTATTGAGGACCTACTATGTGCCAAGCATTGTATTAAATTCTGGGACTACAAAGAATTCTGGACTAAGAAGTTTACATTTCAGTGGGGGAAGTGAGATAATTCAACAGCCTAATGAGTGCTAGAGCACTGTAATGATAGCCATGAGAATCCCTCCTCTGTGCTCCTTGATCACCCACTAGGGTGGCTCACAGATGATCTTTTTTTATGCCAAAGCCACCCACAAGATTAAAGCCAACAAGCAGCAGTTCATGGTGGAAACTTCCTGTGGTTATCCAGAAGAGGCTAGTTACTAATGTGCCACTTCTAAACCACCTGACCTTTAAACAAGTTAGATGTTTACTTACTGAACACCTTCCCTGGTTTGTCACCAGACTGGTGACCCTGACATGATGACCCATAGTTGACTGTCAGGCTGTGAAGTCAGAGGACACGTTTCAAATCTGGGTCCTGGCACTTATGATCATGACTGTGGGCAAAGCACTTCAACTCTTTGATCTTTGATGTTTGTCTTTGCAAAATAAAAATGAAAACATTCTATACTGTACCTACCTCACAGGACTGTTGTGAAAATCAAGTGAAAATGTATGTGAAAGCACTTTGTAAACTGTTATTTTTTAATCACCCCATTTTCCATGGGTTCTTTATCCTCCCTACCAAATACAATACCTGGAATCATGATTGGCCAGGAAGATATATTCTTAGCCACCCCTCACTCTGGACTAGTGAATGGTAGGAAGAAAACCAAGTTCATGTCCTCATAGATATCTGTTTTTAGTGTGGGAATTCTGATACCTCACAGAATGGCAAAAATATATTCCAGGCCCCACAGCTGGAGTCCACCTGCCATTTAGACATTCCACCATGAACATGCCACTAGACCCAACACCAGCTAGCTTTTGTGATAGATTGTCCCAGGGCCCTTTGTGGAGAACTCACTCTTGGCCTTAGAGAACTGATCAGACTGTGGTGATTCAAAGAATCACCTGGGCTCCAGCTGCCAGAAGACACCAGCCTCTCCCCTTGAATCTATGCTCTTCAAAAACAGAGTGAGAAGCTTGTTTAAAGGAGACACGGACCCAATAAAGAAAACTCTCCCTGACTCCCTGAACTATTATGGTTGGATTAGCAAAGGAGCTTCCTAGACACTCGTTTAAAGCAAGGATTTGGTGACACATTTCTTCTTTTAGTAGTTTATTCCTAAGACCAACTTGTTTCCTTGTGCTCTGATTTTTATTTGTTTATTCCCTGTCTGTCCAACAGACCCACGACAAGATATGTTCCTGACTTACAAATCTCATATAGTCCCCCTTACACAAAGACACACACAGACACACACACAAACACACACACACCACATACAGAATAGAACACTGAGTAATGTCACCCCTTTTTCCTATCTGCCCCCATGGCCAAACCCTGTCTGCCCTACCATATCTGATGAGTCAGTACATATTCTGAATTGGCTCATCTAATTGGAGATGTGCCTCACTGGAGCAATCTTAACCCATCCCAAGTTAAAACTTTGAGTCCATTTTGGTCCTGGCTGGATGCTTAAATGAAGTGTCTATGGAGTAATTACTGATGCCCAGCAATCCTTTAAATAAAGTGACATCTTTCTTCTTAAAACCTACCAGTTTCTACAAAAAGAAAAACACATTAGGATGTACCTCCAGGAATAGCATAAAGGTTCTCCTGAGTAAATAGAATGATGATTATGTATAAAACATCTAATAGAATTTACAACCCAGAAGCTCTGGAGTAAGACCAGAAACCTATAATAGAAAATTTCAACTAAAATCCATGCCTCAAGTTCTTAATGCAAGAAAAGAACACTATAAGAAAATTTTTCATTCAATGCTAGTATCAGTTTTCAAAATATTTTTACATAATACAGAAAATAATTCACAACCTCTCCTTGCTCAGATATTTAGTGAATCAAGAAATCCCTAGATCTAAAGCTACAATATTGCATTTTTATTTTAATATTTGAAATAAACTGCAAAGCATTTTTAAACAGTGTTTTCTTCTGTAGTTTAGAATCCCCACTTGCTGTGGGAAGGGAGCCAGAGAGACTCAGAGTACCAACCACCCAAGGTCAGGGGCAAGGAGCCAAAGGGTTCAGCAGACAGCAAGCCCAAGCCAGGAAGGAAAGCTGTTGCTGAAATCACAGATCATGCATATGAAACAAGACAATCTCCAGGTCATGGTAGCCAAGAAGAAAAAATAGACAGAGCCAAGTTAGGAAGCAAATTAAGATGTGGGAACAGGTATCAGAGGGAATAAGTCTGGGAAGGAGGTGGAGTCACCTACCCCCATTTGACACTTGTCTTACAGTAGCCTTTCAGGTGACTTAAAGCATTACATCTTAGTTTCCTTTTGTGAAGTAAAAGTCTCAGTTTTAGTGATGTTGCCTAATGTAGCCAAACCAAAATAGCAACTCCTCCTTACCCACAAGCATCCTTTTTACTACCTTGGTTGATAAAATTTTCATTGTCACAGAGTTTTAATTTGTTCACAAATCTTTGATAAATGATTTTATCAATAAATTTTTTGTCAATAAATAATTTCCTTGGTTGAACTCCAGTTCCTTCTTTGGTGATTAAAAATCGGTAATAAAAACATACTACTTTGAGTAATCATTTGTCTGTACTTGCATGTCCAGTGACATATGAGAGGGAGTGGATATTATAACATAGATTACATGTAAATGAGCTTGAAGCAAGTAGAATAAGATACCAGGCAAGGATAGCTGGGAGGACATTTGAGAGTGACACCAAGTGAGCATTCCTGGTCAACCTCAGTCTGCAAACTCTACCTCTCCAAAGGCAAAGGTGGTCAACTTGCTCACCTTAACATCAGGGCATGGAGATGGCCCAATGGGAGACAGACAAACAGGGCAGACAAGGACAATGCAGGCAGTATTTTGCAGGAAGAGGTAGCTGAATGCAGGGCCCATTGCTGGCAGGAATTCCGTGCTTTTCACAACATGCACATTAGAAATTCCGACAGCAGATGGAACTGAGCCAGCAGCCACAGTGGTGAGGAGAATGGGAAGTTTCTGGATTAAAGTCTGAACTCTGCACACTTTCAGACAGACATGTGAGCTTTCTAGTATTAGCAGCAAAGACTGTGTTGTTGTTTTTTAAAGTGGTTGTTCTAACTGAACCCAGTAGCAGTTAAATTCTTACTTTATTTACCTTTATGATTCATCTGGAATTCGTGTAGCATATGGGGGAAATAACTAAAAAATAATTATGAAATGATCTCATGCATATCAGCAATATTTAAATAAAAATATGTAATTATTTATAGTTTAATAAATAATTTAAAAGTAACTACCCACTCTCCAGAACCTGGTCCTCATCTGAGGATCTATTTTGAGAGAACCTGAACTAAGATAATTTATACTGAAAGGGTCCAGGGTACACACCCTAAGATGGATTTCTGGGTTGGACCACTCCTGAACTGGACAGCAACAGAAGTCTTCATTGGTAGTGGTTACTGGGATGTGATAGCCCTCAGCGTGCCAGAGGATCATTACTCATGGGGGATCTCATCTGCAGTGGGTTGGGATAGGGTATAAGAGAAAGGTTTGCACTGAGTTCATACAATGTCCCTATCAATTGAGAAATGAGGGCTGTGATTATCATTTTAAAAAAACCTGCATAGATGGTTCTTTGCTTGTAAGTACAATTTTCTTGGAAGAAAATAATGAGCCCAAGTTATCAATCAGCAACCCAGGACACAATGTAACAACATTAAGAAAACCTCTATGATATATATATATATATATCTCCAATACAGCCAGAGAGCAGTAAAGGCTAGAAACGTGGCCTGATTGTGAGAGGAGCAGAGAAAACTTACTACCCAGACCTGTCAAATTTACTATGCTAAACTCAAGACCCTTTCAGAGAAGAAATGGGAACCCAAAGACCTCACAGTGGATGTGCTCAAATGCCCATACCCTACACAGCCATCTGGACCTCCTGAAGTCACTCACTCACCAGCATTCAAGAGTCATCAACCAACCCCACTGCCTCAGCACCATGCAGGAACTCCATGTAAGATGCCTCACAGATGGTAGTTGCCTTCATCATGACTTGGCCTTGCTTTTTTTATAGTTTACAGACATAAAGCCAGGGTAAAAATCTCAGCATGGCCTGCCTGGGAAAGTGTTGTTCTTATTTTGGAAGCAAAGAAATTATTTGCCAAAAATTCTGCAATGTCGACTGGTATATACTGACAGAAACCCAGTTTATGCCTCAGAAGGTATCTTGAGCAGGTGGACAGGGGAAGGGGATAAGGCTGGAAAGGGCAATTGAGTTGTATAAAGCTCTCCAATGGGTTGGAATATGATGTCCTAGATGTCCTAAGCCAACTGCTAGGATGGATTTCTTAAACTTGGGAGAGGCATTGGCCAAACAATGTGAGAGAAATATTAAATTTTTGAGAAAAGAGTGAGAGAGGCTTTGAGAAGTCCTTAAATTGATTTAATGCTTAAGACCAGAGACACCATTAAATATATTTCCCAGGAGATTACAGGGAACACTTCTATAATCTTCAAATCAAAGAACATTGCTAGCAAGGACACTAGAGTAGTTGAGAAACTCAGCTCCCTGTTCTTTCTAGGCTGAGTGTACCATCAGAAAAGCTGCCACAGTTGGAGCTACTCAGTGTCTCATTATGAAGATATGGTTCCAAAATAGGAGAGGCCAGGTGGCTTCACTTCACTGTCAGTGGCAAGATGGATGTAATTATTATATGAGAAAGCAAATCCAGAATGGAAATCAGAGATCCTAGCACCCGGGGATCAACTGGAACAGTTTCCAGGAGCACAATAGATGGGTGATAGATTAAGCTGAATACTGGACCCGTACCCAAAGATGGCAACATATAAATCCCCTAGGACCTGTGACCTTTCATGGAACAATGGCTTAGCAGAAGTGATTAAGAATCTGAACTTGAGGAGATAACCTTGGATTAATATGGATATGACAACTGTAATCACAGTTTTATTTGTTTTTCATTTTTATACACGCATATAACATACTTTGATCATATCTTCCCCATTTCCCTTTCTCTCCCACCCCCTCCTCTACCCTCTGATCCTTTTCTCCTTTTATAATTATATCCCTTCTACTTTCATGTTAGCCTTTTCTTATAAATTCTACAAAAGAGAGGAAACCTGATAGCTGTGTTTGAGTCTGAATTATTTTGCTGAACATGATGATTTCCAGTTCCATCCATTTTCTTGCAAATGACATGATTTCATGTTTTTCCCCGCTACTGTGAATTGAACCCAGGATCTTTCTACTGAGTTACATCCCAATCCATTTTTAAAATTTTGAAATAGGGTCTCACTAAGTTGCTATTTTGCCCAGGCTAGGCTAAAACTTGCAATCCTCCTGCCTCAGCCTCCAAGCATAATATTTTATTGGGCATGCAGGTCATGTTTTCTTTATCCAGTTATCCATTAATGGGCATGTAGGCTGATTCTGTGCCTTACATCTCATGACTAGTGCTGTGACAAACAAGGCTGTGTATCTATAATATGCTGACTTTAATTCTTTCACATATATACCAAGGAGTGGTGTAGGTGGATCACATGGTAGTGTAATTTTAATTTTCTGAGAAACCTCCATATAGATTTCTAAATGTACTAATTTACATTCCCACCAATATCCTCACCAGAATTTACTATATTTTTATAATCTTGCAGATAGTCATCCTGATTGGGGGAGGGATGGAATCTCAGTGTAGCTTTGATTTACGTTTTTCTTATGGCTAAAGATGTTGAACTTTTTTTCATGTACTTACTGGCCATTTATAGTTCTGAGAAGTTTCTGTCAGTTCATTTGCCCATTTATTGGTTGGATTACTTGTTCTTTTGGTGTTAAATGTGTTGAGCTCTTTATACATTCTAGATATTAACCTTCTGTCACAAGAATATCTGAAAGTGATTTTCCTCCCTTTCTACAGCTGCCTCTTCACTCTGTTGTTTCCTTTGCTGTACAGAAGTTTTTTAATTTGATGCAACCCCATTTGTTGAGTTTATTATTTCCTGAGCTACTGGAACCCTATTCAGGAAGTCTTTGCCTGTGCACATATCTGGAAATTTTCCCTCTGTTGCTCTCTACTAGTTTCAAAGTTTCAGGCCTCACATTAAGGTCTTTGAGTCTTTTTGAGTTGATTTTTGTACTGGGTGAGAGTTAGGGATCTAGTTTCAATCTTCTACATATAGATATACAGGTTTCCTAGGATCATTTTTTAAAGAGTGTGTGTGTGTGTGTGTGTGTGTGTGTGTGTGAGTGTGAGAG